GGCCATTTTCAGCACTAGTCCAAAACATTCCACGGTCCGCTGGTAACAAGATAACAAGCAAGCAATATAGCATGCCTGGTCCTGCATGGCCAATAAAGCGGTCCCCGCCGGGCAATCTGACAGTGCACTGGAATAGAAAGCCAGAGAATTAACACAAACAACAATTCTCGGGAGATACGCAGATAAAAGTGCCTCGTAATTTTACAATGGCTCAAGTATCAGAAACAAGGGGAAAGCCAGGGCCTTAGTTTCCCGTGAAGGCACCTTACAGATACAGTTTCTTTAACACCGGAAGGATAGCAGACCTATCGTTTCTTACTGAGAGGGAAACTTAAAAATAGGAAAGTTCATTTTCTCCCCTGCAACTTCCACTTATTCGTTTTCATGGTAATTAATGACGTAACAGTAAGAAAGCACAAAACAAACACGCTCGTCAAAGTCTTCTAGTTAATTACTTGTGCTGCTAATGCGGCCAATAATAAACTGTAACACCGCCTTGACAATTTATGAAACATGCGGTCATCGGGTGCGGTGACAAAGGTACGTTCCTTCAAGGGCGTGTCCTCGCCCTTTAAGGTACGTACTGTGCTTGAAGCACGAAGCCGTCCTTAAAGCAATGACATAAAACAGAAGAAAAAGACGCACATCCCACTTCTGTTTATTTTGCGTAATACGCATAATCGTGAACCTGCCGGGTTTTCAACCTAGGATCTTAAAGAGGAAGGTATTTTCCTAGGAGTAAATAAAAACACATGTAAATAGGTAAGAACAGACTTCAAAAAACGTACAGCGAAGACTAATTATATTTGCGTGAACAAAGGGAACAAAAAATGTGCTGAAGCACAGCCACTTATCTTACCTGAAAACAGCACGTCGCATACCCACTCAAGTTTTGGTATGCTCTATTTCTATGATTTAAAAACCAAATTTTTGGTAAGAAAGTTACCAGGGTAGCAATTCTATTTCTGATGATTTGACAACTGCGTGGTAATGGCTCAGAGTCGATATTGAAACATGCAAAATAAGCTATTGTCACAGGTGGTGACCGAAATAACAATAAATAAACAGGAAGAAATAAACGTTCAATGTGGCGAACCTGTGCCCAAAACAAAAAAAAAAGGAATAGAAGATAACAACAGCTAGAGCGTCGCGAGCGTCGAAATCGGCTTAACAGCAGGGTCGAACGCTGGGGCGAGAATGACTGCGGCTAGTCCTAGAATTCGACTCACTGACTGCGGCTCGCCACGCGGAGCCCCCTGTACACGCGTGGGCTTCTGGAACATTCGGCGTAGAAGGTTCGTGCGTAGAACATTCTAACCTCGATTCAGCCAGACCTCCTGGGTTCGATTCCCCACCGCCCCCACCCGTTTCGATCTGGATAAGTTTCGTACCGGCACGTGTTCGTGTAATCACTACTGCGTGATGCACGTTAAGCATCTCAGGTTAGCGGTTGTACTGCACTGGCTAAATTGCTCATCTACAGCTAAGAGACCGATTACCCGTCGTGGCGTATCTCCATCAAGGCTGTATAAACATAGAGAGCAAACCAATTTTTCGGGGCAGGACTTTCGCTGGGGTATGCTGTGCTCGACGGAGCCTTCCTTTCGCTATCTGATTCTCCCCCTCCGTGATACTGTCAATAGCGGCAGCGCGGACTCCGACTGGCGATCCTGTCAAAAGAGACAGCGCCGTCATCTTCGACATTGTTCGCCCTCAGGACAAGCGTGTGGCGTTATCGTGAATAAACACGGCTTTATCCGGACCAAAGGAATCTTTTTTGTGTTTCTAAGTGGTACCCCACGAAGAGGAAACCCACACCTTTCGCGTGGAAGGCAAGCGCGATAAAGCGCGAAACACATGTACGACGAAACCGTCCGATCCGACGTCCGACCGCGAAATACGACGGTCGGAGGCGAGGGTTTTCAACGCTCTCCGATGCTACGAAAACCCTCTCCCCCCAAGGTCATTCCGGCAGTCCGCACGTCGGATCGGAAGATTTCGTCGTACTTGTGTTTCGCGCTTAACAGTTAAGGCACGGGCGCGCTGCCTACTTAGTCAGCTGCGTGCCTTGCACTTGACGTCATTTCCGATGCCCTCCAAAGAAAAGGGGAAGAAGGAGCTCCCCTTTTATCAGGGTCCTCCTTTGTGCCTCCCGGATTGGCACCAGGCGTCGCTTTTCTGCTCCCAGAAGATTATAGAAGATTAACCTGTCACTCATAACTTTTACAAAAGCAGCTTCCCTCTCCTCCTTTTACTTGGTGTTCAAAAGTAGGCGATGTGACATCAGTGCAAGGAGCCTATACACGAACTCAACTCTCCTACGTCACGCCGCGGTGGTGGCGCGCCGGACGCACTTCCGGTCTGGGGCGGTGGGCAGAAGTCGCCGTGCCAGACATGCATTCCTGTGTTCCCTTGGAAGAAACGAGACAAAAAACCTGCCTTCTCATCAAAATGCTGCGACGGGGGTTGTACCAAGAGAGTCTGGAAAGGTTTGAAGATCAGTTTTCATGTGTTTTTGCCCCTCCGTTCGTCCAAAAACGTGGATAGTAACCGTGAAAAGGGCAAACCAGATGCTGTCGAACTACGACTGCGTGCGCGGACAACACTTTGTGGTCGCCAGATGTATTTGCTTTGTTCCAGCATAAATGAGAGAAAACCGCCAAGTTGTCCGAACCACCCACGGGTTCAGTGCGTTTTCAAATTCACACGGTTGCCTGATCGTTCGAACTTTCGTCTGCTCTTTCAAATGTCTGCTTTTTGTCGTCTGCTCGTTCAAACAAACGCGGCCCGAAGACCAAATTTTGACCCGGTGATTGAAATAAGAAGTAATTGCAGGCCTCAAAAGACTTAAGTAGGCTCGGTGTAAACAGTAGATACAAATGTTGATCATTAGTACCGGTGGCCATCACCGACTTGTTACGCTTGGTCTGTTCCCGCTTCCGGTTTTCAGTATCGACGTCGATCATCGCAGCTATCTTCTACACTTTTGCAACACGAGCCACGTCACTACCGAAAACAGCTGGAAGAATCTCATCATGGTTTTGGCGTCCATTCTGCGGCGTTCATGCGAATGAATCGCCGCACGTCAAATTATTTACGGAAAGTTTAGCGGCGTAACGAGCCTTGATAATTTCGCTTAGGCGATTAAAGTGGTAAAACATTGGCGATTAGGACGTAGAATCGACAATTCCAACGCGAAAAAAAGTATGCAGACTTACACAGACGCCGACAACGTGACATTCGAGTGGTTTGTTGACGTGGGACGGCGGTGCTTCTTGCCCGTACACCATTACGCATGCCTTCGAGCTGATCGTCTGCTCTTTCAAACTTGGCTGCTTTTTGTCGTCAGCTCGTTCAAACCACAGGGGCCCGTAAACCAAACGTTGACCCGGTAATTGCGATAAAAACTAAGTGCAGGCCTCACACCACTTTTGAAGGTTGGTTGGGGTAAGTAGGCTAAGTGTAAACAGATACAAGAAGATGTTTATCATTATTGTTACCGGTGGCCATCACCGACTTGTAATGCCCGATTCTACTTGCGGTTTCCAGTAGCGACGTCCACCATCTAGCTACGCGGTCCACGCTTTTGCAGTCCGAGCAACGTCGCGTCTGAAAACAGCGAGCAGAATCTCATCGTGGGAGTCAGGCTTTAGCGCCCATTCTGCGGCGTCCACGTGAAATGAATCGCCGCACGTCACATTATTCACGCAAAGTTTTGCCTCCTTAGTTTTGCTGAAGCCGCTCAAGTAGTCAGATATTGTTAGGAGGACGTAGCATCAACAATTTCAACGCGAAAAAGAGCACGGGGACTCCCACCGACGCCGACAACAACGCAATTCAATGGTTTGTTTATGGGCGACGGCGGGCTTCTTGCCCACCATCCACCGCGCATGCGCGGCGCCGGTGGCGTCCGCTAAAGGCGCTCCGGTTTGTTTGTAAACATGAGTTGGTGTATAGACCCTTTCTTCAAGGGCGCCGCTATCTTGAATTGTCCCCACTTCCAGTATGGGCGAGAACATTGTTTTGCCGTCGCCACGCCAATAGAATGCACTTAGGAAATAAGCGTAACCGTCACACATTCTCGTTTTGCCTCCCCTTTATAGGTCCAGGTTGAAACGTTTTAGTATTTTTTCGTCGCCCATACCGGATACGCCTATTAGGTGGCTGGGGACCAGAGTACACAAAAAAGGTCTATAATACTCCAAAATTAGGAGAGGGGAAATTCGATAAAACGGTGTCAGGGGATTCGATGAAACTTAGTTCCATGAACCGGCGTTCGATGAAATGTCCGCTTATTCGATGAAACGGCGTTCGTTGAATGGCGTTCTATATATGTCCGATACTATCATCCTATACATCAACTCAGGTTTACTTACTGAATTTAGCGGCAAAACTGATTTGATGCATAACAAAACACAAATTCAGGTTTCTCGCGACATTTAGTGCTGGGGAAACGCTTCCCTCAATTTTAACTGTCGAGCCGTGACGGACGGACGCGCATGGTCTCACGGTTTGATTGTCCTAGTCCTACAGATTTTGAAAAAAAAAAAAAGTAGTGCTTATTTTTTCTTTTTTAAAAAATGAACTCAGAATTCTTGGCAAAAACTAAACTCCGACAAACACTCCGAATTCGGCAAAACAATAGATTCCCAAAACACCGAATCCTAATTGTACCCCTTTTCGGTTGATGAAAGATAGGCGCAAGAATGCCGCCGCGCTGAGGCTGACCGAAAGCGCGAGTTCATTTCATCGGGTTGTGATCTCGCCCGGCCTTCACACTGAATGAGCAGAATAAAAAAAAATTATATTCATTGGTGTTTCACGAGTATCACGATTGACTACGCCTATGTGAACTTTGAGTGTGTAATTCAACTTCCTAACATATTGCAATTATGAACTCATCACCGTATTCTCTCGACCACGATCAGTGTGCGCATATGTAAAATAAATTTTAAAAAACGCTCCCTCATTTTTATTGCCGTCTCGTACCCTTCTTTCAGGTGAAAACCTCACAAATGAATCTTGCTACCCTTTTGCGTACACCGATGCAAATTGCGCCGTCGTGTTGATGAATCATTGGAACGAAGGTAGGCATTCAATATCCAGACCGGGTTTGTATGTAGCAGCAGCTAATTCTTCTTCGGTGTAGTCGATCTATCCTTGACATTTTTTTGTTTGTTTATTGTTGTCCTCAACCTAACAAACACTCACCGGTTAGAGCATTGTTCAAAGAAACAAAACACAGCTACCCTGCCGTCGTCGCCTGTCATACTTATTATTCCTTATTTCAAGTCAGTCCGTAAACGTTTTATTAGTAAGTAGGTGACTCCATGTCTCGACTAAACCGGGACTCGGTCCCCACCCCTGCCTCTTTCGATCGGGATGGGCGTCGTACCGGCGTGCGGACGTGTATCACGGCTGTGTGATGTTCGTTCAAGACCTCATCCATACTGCTCTGACTGCGTGTCTCTTCTACATAACGCTGCCTAAACATCTGAGTAATTTCATTTGTGACTTTAACACTGGAATACAGAAAAACCAGTCTTATCAGTTAATACTCAGCCCTTAGTAAGAAAAAGAAAAAAACAACAAAGAGTGAAACAAACTATGTTGTTGAAGTGTGGCGTTCGGTTAGTAAAAACGTACGGCATACAATGTTTCGTGATATGACCCATCTGACGAGCGTAATTAAAAGTAAATATAAGAAACAAATACTAATAAAAGTTGGAACAAAAAAGAGACATAAACTAAGTAAAAGCTCATACAATCCTTTGATCATGGCTGTTTCGTCTTCCTGTTTTGGCTGTTTCGTCTTCCTGTTTAAGTTATGTTAAATTTACTTTAAACATATTTTCTTAGAGGAACTGTTGATTTCTGCGGGCTAACATTAATGATGCCCTGAGCGCCAATCAAACTGAAATATTGTGTATTGTTTCATAAGCGGGAAATTTGTCACTTTAGTTTTATTACCTATCCTGGTTTTATGGCGTTTAACTTGTCATATTGTCCTTTCCTATTCAAGCTGCCAAACTACAGTGCAAAAAGAATCCCTCAGCTCACAAGCACGAAGGCGGTGAGAACACTCTCGAAGCGGGTAAACTGGATTTTTTTTTCTTTTATTTATAGTTATTGCTTTTTACGTCGCTGTGAGATGTAAAAAAAAAAAAAAGGTTTAAAAAAACGGATAGCTTTAAACAGCTAACTTTAGCGCTAACAGCGCCCATTAGCCGTGTTTTCTATTATTTCAGACAGACACTTTAAGACTGCACATTACTCATAAAAGAAGGTACTACATCAACGTAGCGAGTTCAAAACAATTATCCACCAACGTGTTTTTTTTTAAGAATCGAGATCAATAAAAACGCATTTAGCTAGTGTTCACAAAAATCATTAACGAAGGTAAGATTAGCTGGCAGGGTCGCAAAACAGTGGATAAAGACAAAACCTGCATATTTGTTGTTGGTGTTGTTTTTAGGCAACAAAGTGAGAAAAAAAACACAATGGCACATCCACATCTGGCTTACATTGAGAGGTATATATAAGACACATAAATAAGTGTACGGCGTGCATGCCGGTAAAAAAAAAGAAAAACATAAAAAAACTGGATTGAAGAAACATTTAACAACGTGTTGCCTTACCGGAATCAGCTGGAACAAAGATACGCTCGTTTTTGTGATTTGGCTAGATGGAAGCTAGACATAAACAAATAAAATACCTATATGCCAGCTCAAAAAACAGTAGACTGACACACAGATTCACCAGACTATAGTTTCTCCGGAATATATTTTGAAAGAAATCGATTCCAGAGAACATGTCTACGCTAAATTGTACAATAATTCAGAAATTAAGTTAACGTTTTTATGTCACAATAAATAAAGGCGAAATCCCACCCATGTGAGGTTTTCTTTGAATGAGTATAAATCGAAAAACATTTGTTAAAGCGTTGCCTAAACATCTGACTAATATTTTCATCACTTTGACACGAGGGAAGCCAAAAAACCTGTCCTATCAGTCATTACTTAACCCTTACTAACAGAAAGGAAGAGATATAAAGAGTAAAAAAAACTATTGTTGAACTCCGGCGTTCGCTGACAAATAACGCACGGCAAAACTGTTTCGTGATATGACCCATCTGACAAGCGTAATTAAAGATAAATTTAAAAATTACAAGCACAGATAATTCTAATTTCAAAATCACAAAATTGTGTGCCGTGTCATTAAACAGCAGATCAAGACCAAAAACAAAGAAACGTGTTATTCAACTGAAATATGTCTGAGAGAGACTCAGCTATAATGAAATTTAAAAAAAAAATATTATAACGTAGAATGACGTGTATGACCAGATATTTTATAAAATACATAATTTTGAATGCTATAAAATCCGTGTATCTTGGGAACATTAAGCCCCAGGGCAAAACAACAAGGACGCCTGTACATGTAAACCATGCTGTTGGTCAGCGTTTTCGGTTCTTGGTTGGCTTCCATCTTACAACACCACCGTTCCATGTTTCTTAAAACGTTAATTCATTTTCTCGCAGTAGAATAAAGCATTTTCTTCCCGAGTGTGTGTGTGTGTGTGTGCGTGAGTGCGCGCGTGTGTGTGTATCGCGTGTGCGTCTGTGCGTGTCAGCGCACACAGGCAAACGCGCGCGCTTGTGTGTGTGCGTGTGTGTGTGTGTTTGTGTGTTTGTGTGTGTGTGTGATTTTACGTAGTATTTTGAGGGAAATTAAAGTGTGAGAACAGGGTAATTTAATATCTCCAAGTTTCATTTCTCTGAAACGATCTCTGTAATGGAAGTGGGCCGTTATCAAAAACCTTTGACTACCAACAAACCTTCAATACTACGAACTCAAAAGAGCGTGTTTTATTACTATTTGCATTCCACTTCATACCAAAGAACTTTCAAAGATAACGTGGATATACGGGTGTGATATAGTTAGGGCTCATTTATTAGACAGTTCTAGTATCGCGTTGCTGGCTCTTACGTAGGCAATACGCAATAATATAGCGTGCGCTAAAAACGACCTGCTCGGACCGAATTTAGTTGTGCGTTACGTTTCCGAGTGAACACCTCGCATGATCTTGGTTAAATTCGCCCGAGCCGTAGAATTCCGCGGGCTTATACAGCCACCATGCTCCTCACAAAAAAAAAAAAAAAAAAAAAAATGAAAATGATAACGTGGAAAATCATTTCATTTCGAATTAAACCAAGCCGTAGCTGCCTCGTCAAGCGAGCTTTTCTGCAGGGTACAGAGGCTACGAGTACGAGTGCGTAGCAAAATTCGATCACAAAGTCTCCGTCAATCGTCCCGTGGAAACGGCACCCTTCATCAATACTATCGCGGAATGAATCCATGACCTACTAATGTACAGTGCATAGCGAGAACTTGAGCGATTTCTTGAAGTTCGTCCGTCGGCGATGAACTGTGCGAATAGGCTTAGCGTTGAGCAGATCGCAGTGTTGACGCACATTGCGAGCGGTGAACGTTTTCACTGTGCACTCCTTCAGCTGCACGGTGATCTGATTCGACCGCGGTATAGGTCTCGGAAGGAATTGCCGAGCTGAACATCACACAATTTCACGTAACACTGTACTTCCCGAATACCCTGTCGCCCTTGCTGCGCCAGTCGAGGTAACTGCCATCTGAAAACTGATGCCCTCGTTGGGCCCGAAATCTCTCGAGAGTTTCCCGCAAAGTCCTCTAGCCCGCAACGCAACATCCCCAGCGTTGCGTGCGTACGCAATACGCTAGCTCTTCAATTGCGTTCTGGGCATGCGACGACCCGCAATTTCCTTGCGCTCTAGCGTACGGTCCACTAAAACTCTGCATTATAGCTATGGTTAACCAATGTCTAGATACGTCTGTATTTGTTTTCTTTTTTAATCCTTGATTTTTTAGTGTATATTACGAATATAAACCTGTTCAATATATTTTCAGGTGAAAACATGCCCTGCCAACAAGCTTGCGAAATGTGGGTGAGGCATGAAAATCTAAACGAAACTTATCTAAACGAGAACTGCACCAAATATTACGAAAAGTTTTGCGGTGACCGCAAATTTTTTCTCTACGAGAAGCCAATTTGTGATGGAGTCGAAAAACTTCCAATTAACATTACCGAACCTATATCTGAAGATCAATAAAACAGCCATTCAAATGGTGCAGTTGATTTTGTTTTGAATGTGTCACGATTAATATCATGAAAAAAAAACGCTTGACAAGATGCTTAAGTGGGAGGGGTGGCGGGACTATAGTTCTGCCCTACGGTGCATGAGAAAAGTATGTTCAGATTCCGAACTAAAAACATGTATTTCGTGTAAAGGTATTAGGCACTGGGGAAAATCAGCCATCTGCACAAAGCTCTTATTTCTACCTCTTTTGGTTCACATTCAGCCCATTGAAAAGTACACCGGAAAAAAAAAACAAGCAACCACCTAATCTCGCCACACCACGGTCTCCTTCCGCACGATAAACCCATCTGATGTAGTCATTTTCACCATGGCAACGAAACCTCTGCTGAAAAGACGCACGCGCGAACGCCGTGTCCGAAGTATGGTGCCTGCAACGCCTCTCTGACTGATGTGTTCACCGCGCCCAAAAAAGTGGTCCCTCGATTTCCGCCTGATGACGTCATAGAAGTGTCATGCTGTCGCCGGTCGCGATCCTGGCGGCGTCCCAATAGCTGTGGTGTATGTTGCAGACGCCTGTTTTGCTGCAGGTCGCTCTTTCGTCCGCAGCCAGAAGTTGGGACGCCGCGACAACAGTGACACTCACGTTGGCTCGTGGTTTTCGCCAGCATTTCGACGGCCAGCCGCCAGGATCGCGACCTCCGACAGCGTGACACTCCGGTTTCTGTGACGTCATCTGTTGCCACTTCGGGATCACTTTTGATGTATGGGCGGCATAGGACGATAAACATACAAGTCGGAGACGCGCTAGAGGCACCAAAGTCTGAAGCCAGCAACAACAGACGCCATTTCTCAAACACCGCCGTGTTTGTAACTAGCATCAACGCGGCGACGCTAAACAAAACCGGGCATGCTGATGCGACGGTCTACCCTGAGAGCGCGAAGCTGTCGCCTGCCAAACCGTTGGCAGTTCCAACGTGGCTTGACAGGACCTCGAGTCTGAATTACACGTTATCTTTCCCGAGCGAAGCGGAGCGAAGCGGAGCGAAGCGGAGCGAAGCGGAGCGAAGCGGAGCGGAACGAGGGTTGAGTGTGCGTGAGGCGGCCTGTTCGGAAGCCTACACTCGAAGAAAAAATAGAGAGAAAAGGTAACAACGGCGCGTCTTCCTTCCTTCTACTGACGCGCCTCCATGCGGACACAAGAAACAGGGATGAACGAAACGTTTTTCTCCTCCATGCAGACGGGAGAAAGCTTTCGCCTTCCCGATTCATCTTCTTTTGGTTTCGTTTGTCGAGCACGTCGCGCACGTTGCTTAATGAATGTTGTTGAGTTGATCGAGCTTCAGCGGCACCGAAGGCCGCCTGTAATTTCGTCTTCTAGTCCAAACGTGCAGAACATTTCGGTTGCATTGACGTTTTAGATTAAGGCACGACCACATTGGCGTCGCGGAGGCCTGCGGCGCGACGGTCGGTGCTGCCGTTTGCCGACCCAAACAAGTTTTCGGCTTCAACGGCGCGACGTACGGCGCCGCAGAGTCAACCGCTTCGTGCGTGGTTCAGAGCTCGGCGCCGTTCGCCGCAGAAGAGAGGAGCCAATGGGAGGTGGCGTAGATAGTGACGTCGCGATGCCATGGCACCGCTCAAGCCGGTCCTCGGCGCGTCTTTCACATTCCGAAGGACGTGTTTCGTGTCGTCTGCTCTCCCTATTTCCCCCCGATGCCTTCTCCAACGGAGCGGTTCCTTGAGACTGCGTCTGTTTCCCTTTTGATATGACAAGACGCAGCCAGACTACCTAGATCAGGACGCTAAGAACAACCGCTGGGAAATTATAGGAGAGGAATTCGGAATTACAAGTGAGTTTCTACGTGGCACTTTTTGCATGCCGTCTGTGTTGTGACGGATGTCGTGTTGATTTGGTGACACTTTCGAAAGTAGCCTTCATCTCTGGCGCGCCGCCGGGCAGCAAAGCCCCGGCGGCGCGCCACACCTGTCCCGTCCTTCGGTATTTCGGTAGAACCAACTCGGCCGGATCCAAAACCTGCGCCTCCTTCCCTTCAGAGCGCGGCGACGTCGCAAAATCAACGAGCAGGCTAGGATAATCACATTCACGCTGATCACCAGTTCATTATGGACTCCTACCATGTAGGCAGCGAGTGCGGAACGGAAGAATGTAACGAAGAGCAGACGACGAAAGAGCGGGAAATCCGCCGGGAGGCGCGATCGCGGGATCCAGTACTGTCACGTGACGCCTGCAAAACGGAGGCCAATGTGGACTTCTCACGTTAGGACGCCGGACGGCGGTGCCGCCCGGCGGCGCCGCCCGGCGGCGCTGTTCACGCTAGTGTGGTCAGGCCTTTAGGCGCCCGTTTCCGGCTTGAGGTGAGATGAGGTAGACTTTATTGGGTCCAAGACTGTTAGATCCCCGCGTCAACCGAGTCTCTCTTAGGGAGAGACTCTTGACGAAGCGATCCCCTCGGTGGACAGACGAGACGCGATGTTCCCGGCGGCGTCCGAGGCCAGCTGGACTAGAATTTTCTGAGTCGTATGGTCAGGATCCCGCAGGAAGGATTCCCAGGCGCCTGGTTGCCTGGCTTGCTTGATGAACTCCTTATTCTTCAAATGAAGAAGCAGCTCCGGACACCCCCAGAGTATATGGTGGAGTGTTTCGATCTCGCCACAGTCCCTGCAAGACGGGTCGTAGGTATCTGGGTACCACGAGTGCAACTGCGCCGGGTTGAGGAAGGTCTCCGTCTGGACTTGACGGAGGATGGTGGATTCTGCCTTGTTGAGAGTGCTGTGAGCCTCTGGGTGGGCTCGGCGTTCTACTCGGTAGTGGTCCAGCACCCCCTTAAAGGTGTAGAGGTTGTCGTGGTTCCACGTGGCGAAGGTCGAGTGCTCACTTGGTGTGCTAGCCCGGTTGGTAAGAGCGCAGGCTGCACTGTGAGCACTCTCGTTGCCTGGGAGTGACGCATGGGCTGGAGACCACAGTATGAGGACTGGGTGGTCAATCAGACGATGTCCAGTGGCGATCTTGAGGGCTTTGTCAGAGATATGACCACGCATGTACTGGCGGATGGCCATCTGGGAGTCACTGACGATGACTTTCGTGGTGCTGAGGGTGAGGGCCAAGGCGATGGCTGCCTCCTCTGCCTCTGCACTGTTGCTGGTATACACGCTGCCTGCCGTGAGGATTTGGCCGGAGCGATTCGTAACTGCAAGGGTCATTCGACCCCTGTCAGCTGAGGCTGCGTCGACATAGGTCACCTCAGAGTCGTCGTAGCCTTGCTGTAGAGTGTTCTCCAGAGCCTTAACTCTGGCCATGCGTCTGCCTGCGTCGTGCACTGGATGCATGTGACGAGGCAGAGGCGAAATCTTTAGTTGCTCGCGTAGCTCGTTTGGAAGCCAGCCTCGCGTGCTGTGCCCTGCTGGGTGGTAGTTGATGCCCAAAGATGTGAGGAGGGTTCTTCCCGCTGTGGTCAGAGATAGCCTTTCGTAGTGGGCTATCCTCTGTGCCTCAATGATTTCCGAGAGGGTGTTGTGAAGCCCAAGCTTCTCGAGTCGCTTGGTCTCTGTTGAAGGTGTTAGGTGAAGCGCTTTCTTGTATACGCAGCGGATGATGCGATCGATGGCATCCCTCTCCGTGAGTGTCAAGTCCAGGAAGGGTGCAATGTAGGCAATCCGGCTAATCACGAAGGCTTTGATAAGGCGAATGACATTCCGCTCTTTCATCCCGTACCGTTTTCCGGCGATTCTTGCTATGAGTCTTCCTACTTGCTGTGCGTGGTTACGGAGGACTCCGATGCTGTATGTGTTCTTGCCATCCTCCTGCAACCACAGACCGAGTATCCGAAGTCGCCGGACCCGAGGGACGTCTTTGCCTCCGACCTGCAGTATGATGCTTGAGGGAGTTTTTACCGTGGTGCCGGCCATGAGCAGCAACTCCGACTTTTCCTGAGAGCAGGCTAGTCCGCGCTCCTTAGCGTAGGCTTCCACGATGCGTATAGCTTCTTGCAGCGAGTCTTGGATGGCGCCATCGCTTCCTCCTACCATCCACAGAGTGACATCGTCTGCGTATATGCTGTGGTGAAGGTTGGGGATATCTTGTAGTTTCGTCGGTAAATCTTTCATGGCGATATTGAAGAGAAACGGAGAGAGTACTGCTCCTTGCGGTGTTCCGACTCCGCCCAGAGTTTGCAGGTCAGATTGGAAACCGCCGATCGAGACCTGCACCTGCCTACTTGATAGGAAGTTCTGTATGTATTTGAAGATGCGCTCGCCCACATCAATGGAGTTTAGCCCACGGAGGATGGCTGCGTGGCTGACATTTGTGAATGCTTTCGAGATGTCCAGCCCGAGTATGGCTCTGGTGTCCCTTTTGGGTGCGTATTCCCGTTCCACAATCTGATGATACAGTCGGAGCATCACGTCCTGCGTCGAGAACTTGGGTCTGAACCCGACCATCGTGTCCGCGAAGACTTTGTTGGCCTCTGCGTACCTGTTAAGGCGATTGAGTACGACATGCTCCAAGACTTTCCCGAGACAGGACGTGAGCGAAATGGGGCGCAGGGCTTCCAGTTGAAGTTTTTTCCCAGGCTTGGGTATAAACACCGTCTTCGCAGTCCTCCAGGATTCTGGGATTTCTCCTTTTTGCCAGCAGACGTTGAAGTGTGATGTTAGCCGGTCAATCTCTCTGTCATCCAAGTGCCGCAGTAGCTTGTTGGAGACCTCATCAGGTCCTGGAGCGGAGCGGGTCTTGAGCTCTCGGATCGCAGCCATGACTTCGAAGGGTCGGAACTCTTCGTCTAGCGTAGGGTTTGGCTGGCAAGTGTATTCCATCGCAGGTGTTGGCGGAGCTCGTCCGATATACTTGTTTTGTACTGCTTGGACAAGCTCGTTTCCATCTCCCTTGAATGAGTTCAGGATACACTCCATCTGATTTCGGACTGTGGTTCGGCTTTGTCCGGGGTCGAGGAGATGTCGAAGGATGTTCCACGTCTTTGGAGTGTTGGGAGCTC